CCACACACTGCGAAGATCCTTGGAAGTCCATGTCTCGAATGCCAGAACAGAGACAGCACAACAGTTGCACAAACTTGACACAGAAAACCACATCTCTGTCCAGCTAAACACCTTAGACGTGTGCTGCGGCAAAAATAAATCCACCCTCTACGCACAGTCACAGCACCGTTAGAAGCTACAGGCAGCGTCTGGGTGCAGGGTGAGAGCGGTGAAGACTTTTGGGCATCGCTTCAGAGGTCTGCGGGCAGGACAATGTCCGCCTGAGCCCCTGTTGATCTTCTCCTCAAAACCCCTCTCCCAGTTCGGCTGTATCGCGCTCAGATTTGTCGGAGTAACGCAGTTACCCAGCGACAGACGGTATCGGTACTGCTGCCAGATCGCGTGTCCGGATCGTTAGGTGACTGGTTACCCAAGTATGGTCCCTGATCTCATGTGCCCTCCCCAGTCTACAAGAGCCAATTTCAGCCATGAAAAAACATCAGTGAAATAATCAAATATTAAGTCGCTATATTTTGACGGTAACAGTTGGCTTAGAAGAACGGGATTAGACCATGATACTCACAGCACACTCCTAAGTGTAATCTATAAAGATTGTATTCAGAAACGGAACAAAAATAAGGCATAGAGTTGAAATTTAAAAAGAAATTTAAGAAGGTTTAAGCTCGCGGACAAAAGTGAAACTTGCTGAAAGCAAGCCGCACTTCCGAGGCTCTTCCCTATCCCAAGTTTCTAAAAACATACACAGGATAAGTGCTTTGGTAGATCGCCCGCGTGCGAAAGGGAAGGGTTACCTCTCCGGAGCAGCTGTCCCCGTCTGCCTGTCGCTGAAAGCCACCATTCAGTTACCATGTCAGCACAGAGAGCCGAAAACCGAAGTAATCTGTAAGAGAACACAAGGCAAATTTCCACGGCTGTGCTGAAGGCCAGATATTTATGCTGCTGGGAGAACTGGGCTGGATCCAGCAAGAGCTCTGAAATTTAAACACACACTCCCTCTACCGCATGCTGAAACCACAGGCTGGGGTGACTCCCCCCGCGCTGCGGGGAGGCCGGGGGCAGTCATCGCATGCCGTCGCAGCCGTTTTCCCCGGGCTCCGGCACCTTCTGCAAACCAGGAGGTAGAGCAAACCCCCGGCTGTCCCAGCAGAGACAGCCCCGACCCCTCAGCAGGCTTTGAGCATCAGGATGTCACCTTCACCTTATGTCACTCGCAGCCAGAAGCTGATGACCCCGACCTTTTATGACAATGCACAAAGTTGATGCTAGGAAAAGGTCTGTGGTGGCCATAAGGTGGTTTGTTTACTCAGCTTGCTAAATCCACCTTTAAGAGGCTGCCAGAAAGTTACTGCAACTTTAATGAACTTCCCGCTCGGGTTGTTGAAACTTAAGGATTCGACAGAGTTCATTCACTCATCTTGGTTTTCCCAACTAATTCACAAACAGCCTTTTACGAATTTCAGGCTCGAGAGAGCAGTAAGAGACCAACGCTAGGAAAAAAAATGGCTTATGAGGCTTTGAACTAGAGGACTTAGAGAAAATATGTTCTATTTTTAGACACAGTTATGCAGACTAACTGGACTAACGTATTAAACAAAGATGTTGTGAACATGATGCTACTTGAACCCATGTACCCTCCCTGACATTACCCAGGCTTAGCTGCTCCTCCCACCCCAATGGAAAAGCCCCGTTTCGGATTGCTACCTCCAACAGGGGATGACTTGCAAAGCAGCCGAGCGCCGGCCATGAACCCATCGCCATCGCCAGCCCCCCACCGAGAGGGGCAGCTCGGCAGGCAAGCCGGCAAGTTCAGGGGCAGAGAGCGTATCCCACCCAGTGCCGCACACCCTCCTGCACCTCCCGGGTCTGACACGGCACCAGGAGCTGCAGCTGCTCAGAAGAGGATGGAAAAAGCAAGCAAATCCCCTGCCCCAAAAGCCGAGGCTCCAGGCACACTAGCACGAGCGTGGAGGGCGTTTCCGATGCTGCCGAGCAGCCCAAGTACATCCAGGGGAGGGCAGGAGTGCGAGATCCAAAAAAATAACACCGGTCCCTTGCACTGGAGCATCATTCACACCAGGATCACTCTTTTCTTGCAATCAGCGATATAAAAAAAATCACAGCCCCCCTTGAAGAAAGCGATTGCCCAGGGTTTACAGGCAGGGGGGCTGAGACAAGCCTGCCCGAAGGTCAGCTGGCGAGGGAAGGGGCGCAGATCCAGCGCCCAGCCTTCTGCTTTAGTAGGGGCCATAAAACCCCACACAGTAACTACACTTTCACAGCAGGACGTTAAAGCTGCAGCAAGTTTCTCATCCCCCACCCCTCCAAAACAGAGAGTAGTTTTTCTAAACACCCCAGACAAAGTTTTTCTTTAACCTTCCTGATGAGGAACAATAATAAAGTCATTACAACGCCACTCGCACATCGGGTGCGGGCTTTCTTCATCTCCGCCAGCAATAAAGCCTGTCCCTGATTCAGTAACGAAGTGTAACGTTGACACTGTCAATGAGGGCATGAATCACACGCCGGGAGTGCACAAATCACACCCTGAGCTCTCTCCCATCGCTTTGCTGCTGCTGCTGCCAGAGATCTGAGAATTAAAACTAAATTACTGGCTCACCTCATCCTGCTCACAGGTAAATGCCAGGGCATGCCCCATCACCGTCACACAAGGCAATACTTGCACCGGCGCAGCAGGGCACGGAGGGAACCTGCCAGCACATCCCTCCTGAAAGCTTCCTCTTGTATCCCTGGCTGACACACGGTAAGTCACGGAGAAAAATCCCACCTCAGCACAGCCTCAAGCACGTTTGTACCAGAAGGGGAAAGGGATTCTCCGCTGAAGGCAGCAAGGGAGTTTGCATGAAAAGAGAGGGCGGGAGGAGAGCCAAGAGGAGCAGAAATGAGAAATGAGACAGGGGCTGCTTCAACCAGCAGGTCACTGGTTCAAGAGATCAACACTGCTACCAGCCTTGGGACTCCGATTTATGGGGTGGCCGCAACTTCATCCTCTTTCCACACTCAGACCCCTCTGCATCGCCATGATGGACGTTTCCTGGACCCTACGGCGCATGCAAAGCCTGCTTGTCTCTCTGCCCACCCACAGCCCGTTCCCAGGGGCTTTCCCAACATGTGGGGGGCTCAACAGACTGATTCCTTCCCACAAGCATGATCGTCACTCGCGTGCAAGAGGCTTCCTGGCACATCTGTCAAAGGGGAAGGTGGCCAAGGCTGAGATAAGCTATACCAGGATGCTGTCTGAAGCCATGCAGACACAATACTGTCGATGACAGACAGATGCTTTGGGAAAAGCATAGACGGGATCATCACAGAGGGAGTGTATCCTCTCCTGCTCAACTGACAAGCTGCATCTTCAGCTGCTTTTCCTCTCTGCGCCTTGATTTTCCATCCAGGGAGACTAAAACACACCTACCTCATAAACAGGTTTTGAACCTTAATTCACTAGCTTCTGTAAATGGGTTGGAGGCTCTCTGATCATAAACAAATAGGGCTGTTAAACATCGTTTGAGGTGGAGTCAGTGCACACAAACTTTTGAAAGTACAGTAAGACCAGGATGCCTTCTGACCACACAAGAAAGGGGAGGTCAAAACTCATCTGGGGAGGAACAGTTCAATGTAACAACAGGATCTTTGTTGGCTATAATAACAGAGGTTGGAGCTAGCCAACGAGGAAGGGAAAAATGCAACAGGTTGGTAGAACAAAACAAAGGAAGGAAGCAGGAGGGGAAAGAAAATTAGGTCTCTTGCTTCAAGGTCCTGCCACCTACTTCTGCATGCTCCTTTACCTTTCACCTAGGATTTTTTACAAGCGCTTTTAAAGCTAATTAAGAGTTACACTCAACCCAGCAGCATGGAGGTACCACCTTCCTGCATTCAGCTACAAGTGTTCGCAGCGCGGGACGAGCAACCTCACGCAGAACTCTCAAGTACTTTAGAGCCACGACTGAATAAAGGCAGCAGTACCTCGACTTTACAGGTGGAAAAAGCACGGCACAAAAAGTAAACATCTTTTATCTGGGATCTCAGGGAAAGCAGGAGCAGAATGTGAAAGGATGCAAAGAGGATTCTCAGCTCCTTTCTCCTCAAGCAACCCCTCACCTGATGCACCGCTGATGGACCATCCTGACCCTCTCGCTTCTCCTCATTTCAGCCCCAGACCCCACCAGTGCCCCTCACTGGTACCCTAAAACCACCGGCCAATTCCCCCTCTGCCACCCCACCCCTGGGAGAGAAGGCAGGCAGACTGTCCTGTCCTGTCGTCCCCCTCCCAACCTCCCCCATTTTGGGCCACGTTCCATCCTCCCTCTTCCACAATTTCCCAAGCAGGAACGAGAGCCTGCACCCTAAAGTCACCGATGTATCCCTGCCCTCCCAGCTCCCCTCCAAATCACTGCCCCCCAAAGTTCCTCCCTGCCTTCCCCACGCTCACACCCGTGCCACCAGAGCTCCCTGCCCCTTCCACCCCACACCCTCAGAAAACCCCCATCTCCTCAAACCCACACCCACAGAGTCCCCTCATCCCCCATCCCAGCCTGCCCCTCCACCCCATGCCTCCCACCTTCTGTCCCCTGCTATGTCCACAACGTCCCACCCCCCTGTCCCTGTCCCCTATGTACCTCAATCCCCACTGCCCTACACCCATGTCCCTGTCCCCCACAGACCCCCTGCCCCACACCCCCGGTCCCCCACAACCCCATCCCCCTGCGCCGTATTCCCCACATACCCC